ATGGCCCTTCTTGTGTTTTTCATATTTGCTGGCATATGGCATGCATCACCTTGACAGCATCATCTTTCAAGATGTTGAACAGTTCGGCTGGGATCCCGTCGTCTCCTGCTGCCTTGTTGTTAGCAATGCTTCTTAAGGCCCATTCAACCTCACTCCTCAGGATGTCTGGTTCTAATTCACTCACCACACCGTCAAAACTATCCTCGATATTATTATCCTTCCTATACAGATCTTCTGTATACCTCACCACCTTCTCTTGATCTCTTCGGCTTCTGCCACCTTTGTTTCTGATCATGCTAATTTTTCCTGAAAATTACCCCCAATGTTTCTAATTTTCTGGAAGAGGTCTCTTGTCCTTCCTATTCTGTTGTCTTCTTCCACTTCCATGCATTGCTTGTTTAAAAATAGTTCTTTATCTCTTCTGGCTAACCTCTGGAATTGCGCATTTAACTGGGCATATCTCCCCTTATTATCCCTGTTTCCTTTTGCTTTCCTCCTTTCTTGGGCTACTTCCAGCATCCCAGCATTTTGCCTTCTTGGTTTTCTTTTTCTTTGGGACGTACTTTGTTGCCGCCTCCTGAACAGTGTCACGAACTTCTGTCCATAGTTCTTCTGGGACTCTGTTGACTAAATCTAGTCCTTCAAATCTGTTCTTTGCTTCCACTGCATGTGTACATTGGAAGCATCAAATTGTTGCCAGCTAGAAGCCGACCAGATTGGGGAGGTTGAGAAGAGCAGGGTACAAATATCTGAAATAAATAAATAAATGCGTGCTTCTCTTTGGGAGGAGAAAGATGACCCAAAACTCTCCGTGTTTCAAGCTAAACTCCAAGGCGGCAGCCTTCCCTTTTGGCTCTGCCATCCCAAACAGGGCAGCTGTCACGAGCCATCAGCCTTTAGTTGGGTTTCTTTCTCCTCCTGGCAGAGACCCCACATACCAAACTCACAACAGAAACAGTCCTTCCTATTCTGAGACATTGGGACTGTGCCAGACTATAGCTTCCATCATCCTGGAATATTGTGTCCAATTCTGGGCACCACAATTGAAGAGAGATATTGACAAGCTGGAATGTGTCCAGAGGAGGGCGACTAAAATGATAAAAGGTCTGGAGAACAAGCCCTATGAGGAGCGGCTTAAGGAGCTGGGCATGTTTAGCCTGAAGAAGAGAAGGCTGAGAGGAGATATGATAGCCATGTATAAATATATGAGAGGAAGTCACAGGGAGGAGGGAGCAAGCTTGTTTTCTGCTTCCCTGGAGACTAGGACGCAATTTATTTATTTTATTTATTTACTTCACTTGTATACTGCTCTTCTCGGCCATCAGGCGACTCAGAGCGGTTAACAACCAGTATCAACAACACAGTACAAAATCATTAATAATTTAAAACAGTAATATCAATTAATTAACATCAACATCAATACAACAATACAGCAAAACAACAATCCATCACGTCTCATCAATAGAATCAGCATCCGATCTCGTTGTCCATTAATCCATATTCCAGTAATCAATCAATTGTACTGCTTAGTTGAAAGCCTGTTCGAAGAGCCAGGTCTTCACTCTCTTCCTGAATGCCAATAAGGAGGGGGCCGATCTAATGTCTGTAGGAAGGACGTTCCACAGCCGGGGGGCCACCACTGAGAAGGCCCTGTCTCTTGTCCCCGCCAGGCGTGCTTGTGAAGCCGGCGGGACCGAGAGCAGGGCCCCCCCAGACGATCTTAACGTCCTAACTGGTTCATAGGAGGAGATGCGTTCGGACAGATAGGTCGGGCCAGAACCGTTTAGGGCAATGGAACAATGGCTTCAAACTACAAGAGAAGAGATTCCATCTGAACACGAGGAAGAACTTCCTGACTGTGAGAGCTGTTCAGCAGTGGAACTCTCTGCCCTGGAGTGTGGTGGAGGCTCCTTCTTTGGAGGCTTTTAAACAGAGGCTGGATGGCCATCTGTCAGGGGTGCTTTGAATGCAGTTTTCCTGCTTCTTGGCAGAATGGGGTTGGACTGGATGGCCCATGAGGTCTCTTCCAACTCTTTGATTCTATGATCCCCAGACAATAGGGCAAAACGGAGCTGTAATCTAGAATGCATCTGAGCTAGGAAAGCAGCTGCAAGGATGTGTCTTTTGAGAGTTTGTGGTGGAGTTTCTCCCCAGCAATGGATTCACATTGCAAGATAAAGAGAATGAGACCTAAACATCAGGAAGAACTTCTTGATGAAAAGAGTTGTTAGAAGAGACTGTTTCAGATGATGGTGTGCTCTCCATTTTTGGAGAGATTGGGTGGACGTCTTTCAGATATGCTTTAGATCAGTGGTTCTCAACCTTCTGAATGCCGTGACCCCTTAATACAGTTCCGCATGTTGTGGTGACCCCCAAACCATAACGTTATTTCTGTTGCTACTTCATAACTCTAATTTTGCTACTGTTATGAATCGTCATGTCAATATCTGACATGCAGGATGTATTTTCATTCACTGGACCAAATTTGGCACAAATACCTGATATGCCCAAATTTGAATACTGGTGGGGTTGGCGGGGGGATTGATTTTGTCATTTGGGAGTTGTAGTTGCTGGGATTTATAGTTCATCTACAACCAAAGAGCATTCTGAACTCCACCAGTGAGTTATGAATCTTGACATGCAGGATGTATTTTCATTCACTGGACCAAATTCGGCACAAATACCCGATATGCCCAAATTTGAATACTGGTGGGGTTGGCGGGGGGATTGATCTTGTGATTTGGGAGTTGTAGTTGCTGGGATTTATAGTTAATCTACAACCAAAGAGCATTCTGAACTCCACCAGTGAGTTATGAATCTTGACATGCAGGATGTATTTTCATTCACTGGACCAAATTCGGCACAAATACCCGATATGCCCAAATTTGAATACTGGTGGGGTTGGCGGGGGGATTGATCTTGTGATTTGGGAGTTGTAGTTGCTGGGATTTATAGTTCATCTACAACCAAAGAGCATTCTGAACTCCACCAGTGAGTTATGAATCTTGACATGCAGGATGTATTTTCATTCACTGGACCAAATTTGGCACAAATACCTGATATGCCCAAATTTGAATACTGGTGGGGTTGGCGGGGGGATTGATTTTGTCATTTGGGAGTTGTAGTTGCTGGGATTTATAGTTCATCTACAACCAAAGAGCATTCTGAACTCCACCAACAATGGAATTGAACCAAACTTGGCACACAGAACTCCCATGACTAACAGAAAATACTGGAAGGGTTTGGTGGGCATTGACCTTGAGTTTGGGAGTTGTAGTTCATCTACATCCAGAGTGCATTGTGGACTCAAACAATGATGAATCTGGACCAAACTTGTCACGAATCCTCATTATGCCCAGTTGTGAAAATGGCTGAAGTTTGGGGAAAGTAGACCTGGACCTTTGGGAGTTGTAGTTGCTGGGCTTTATAGTTCACCTACAATCAAAGAGCACTCTGAACGCAGCCCACAGTGGATCTGTACCAAACTTGGCACACTACCTACATGGCCAACACTGAATACTGGTGGGGTTGGGGTGGGGCTGTTTTTGAATTCTGGGAGTTGTAGTTCACCAACACCAAAAAGGAAGAGAAGGGCAGGCAGAGAGATCTTCAGTCTTGTCAGCCAAAGTGGTTCCTAAGACCATCAGAAATCTATTTTTTTTCCCCTGATGGTGTTTGGCGACCCCTCTGAAACCCCCTTGCAACCCCCCTAGGGGTCGCGACCCTCAGGTTGAGAAACACTGCTTTAGATGCATCTTGCTTTGTGGCAGAATGGGATTAGACTAGATGACCTTTGGGATCCATTCCAGCCCTTGACGGCGTGATTCTATCCAAACCACTAGCACTATATTAAGAGAGCTCCAGCCAACTATGCAGGCAATGTTTCAACACACATTATCTGTCCTGTAGCAAACAAGTAGTATCTTTGGAAAAGGAAGATAAAGTAAGTTAAAGGGAAAGATAAGGACCAAATGTAGCCTAAGAAGGGCAGCAAACTCCTTCAGTTAAAATATGTATGAAGAAGGTTGTCTTTTCAGTGATGGTGGAGGAGTCACTTCCATCAGACCTGGATCGATGGACTAGTTAGCAGCTCCTTCATTAAGGGAGTATAGAGAGATAGACTCTGCCTCCTCACCATCATCCTTTGCTTATGCTGCTACACAAGTATTGACACATCTTTGTTCCTAACAGTTCAGAGAGATAACCAGGTACATTAGTCTAACAACTGAGAAGCCTAATTTGCCTTGCATGAATATGAGTGGATATTTACCACTAAGGAGAAGATTCACTCAAACAAGTATTTAACTCTTCTCAGGAAGATCATACTTTACAAAACCCGCAAAAAATTCTGTTTCGCTTTTACCTCGCCCAAGTTTTTAATTAGTTTTAATTAGTTTATCTTTTAATCATTACATGTAACCTGCCCATTGTCATTGTGACCGTGTCACTGTAATTTTATATTGTTACGTATACATATGTTTTATGTAATCATGATGTTGTTGTTTTTTGTTTGCGTTTTCGGTTTTACTTCATTGTAATTTGTTGTTTGGGCTTGGCCTCATGTAAGCCGCTTCGAGTCCCCATCAGAGAGATGGTGGCGGGGTATAAATAAAGACTATTATTATTATTATTATTATTATTATTATATTATTATTATTATAAAAGGGTTATGATTATGCCAGATAATGGGAATGCCAATTAATCTCCAAAAGGGTCATGCTTCCAAAAGGCTGTGGAGATTCCAGTGTCTCAAAGTGCATTCCATGCAAAGATGTATAGAGCAATGTTGAACGGTTGATTTCACTAACCTTTGGGGTCAATCACCTTCTTCAGAGAGGGGTCAGCTGTAAGTTATCAAGCAGACGGTTGGTCCAAGGATGCAAAAACATAGTTTCCCCCTCTCTCTCACCCAATGGAATAGACACGCTTTCCCCAGAGCCCCTCTTCCAAAGCCTCTGTGTTGTTGACTTTGTTTTTCTGCCTTTTCCCTTTCTTTTCAGGGGGAGGAATCGAAACCCCTGCTGCCCCCAGCCTCCAGCCCCCCAAATAAGTCCTTAAATGGGACGGAGCCCAGCTGGAACAGCCTGCCTTCTGCCCGGACGGACGAGCAGGCCTTGCTCTCCTCCATCCTTGCCAAGACGGCCATGTGAGTAGCAGCCCTTTTGCCTATTTACTACTAGCCGTCCCCTGCCACACGTTGCTGTGGCCCAGTCTGTGTATATGTGATTTGTGTGTATATATATATATATATGTATGTATATATGGGAGCCCCCGGTGGCGCAGTGGGTTAAAACACTGAGCTGCTGAGCTTGTTGATCGAAAGGTCGCAGGTTCGATTCCGGGGAGTGGCGTGAGCTTCCGCTGTCAGCCCTAGCTTCTGCCAACCTAGCAGTTCGAAAACATGCAAATGTGAGTAGATCAATAGGTACCGCTCCGGCAGGAAGCTAACTGCGCTCCATGCAGTCATGCCGGCCACATGACCTTAGAGGTGTCTATGGACAACGCTGGCTCTTCGGCTTAGAAATGGAGATGAGCACCAGAGTCCCAGAGTCGGACACGACTGGACTTAATGTCAGGGGACTACCTTTACCTTTTTATGTATATATGTGTGTGTGTGTGTGTGTGTGTGTGGTTTTGTGCATTAGTTGTAATGTATTTTTTTAAATTTTTGGCTTTTGAAGTCTCTTCCGCTGTGTTTTTCAGTGTTTTCATGAGTGATGGTCACTCGTGGGCCTGAGAGGTGTCTTGTGTCCAAATTTGGTGTCAATTCGTCCAGTGGTTTTTGAGTTATGTTAATCCCACAAACAAACATTGCATTTTTATTTATATAGACTAGCTTGGGGACCCGGCGTTGCCCGGGTTATTAGAGAAAGTGGGTAATGGTGGTTCTGTATGCCAAGTTTGGTCTTTATTGGTCTTTGGATAACGGCTGCATATTTTCAGGAAGTGAGTGAAGGTACTTGAAGTCCCATCATCCATGGGCCATCCTCCTACAAACAGCAGCAGGATATAGAGTGGGTCATGGGGGCTCTGTGTGCCAAGTTTGGTCTTTATCAGTCATTAGATGAGGGTGGCAGTGGTGTCAGTAAGTGAGTGAAGGTACTGCAAGTCCCATCACCCAAAGTCCATCCCCTTTCAAACTGCAGCAGGACGTAAAGTGGGTCATGGGGGCTCTGTGTGCTAAGTTTGGTCTTGATCAGTCATTGGATGAGGATCACAGCAGTCTCAGAACATGGGTGAAGGTACTGCAAGTCCCATAATCCATAGTCTCCCTCAAACATGACCAGAATGTCGAGTTGGCCATGGGGGCTCTCTGTGCCAAGTTTGGTCTTTCTTGGTATTTGGATGAGTGTCACTGTGGTTTCAGGAAGTGAGTGAAGGTACTGCAAGTCCCATCATCCATTGTCCGTCCTCCTCCAAACTGCAGCAGGATGTAGAGTCGCTCATGGGGGCTCTGTGTGCCAAGTTTGGTCTTGATTGGTCATTACATGAGGGTTGCACCAGTCTTGGGAAGTGAGTGGAGGTACTTGAAGTCCCATCATCCATAGTCTGTTCTCTCCCAAACCTCACCAGAATGTTGAGTTGGCCATGGGGGCTCTGTGTGCCAAGTTTGGTCTTCATCAGTCATTGGATGAGGGTCTCAGTGGTTTCACTGAGTGAAGGTACTCTAAGTCCCATTGTCCATGGTGCATCATCCTCCAAACCGTACCAGGATGTAGAGTGCATCATGGAGACCCGGTGTGCCAAGTTTGGTCCTTATCGGAAATTGGATGATGTTTTGCAGTGGTCTCAGGAATTGAGCGAAGGTACTGCAAGTCCCAAAATCCATGCACGATCCACAGTCAAACCTCACCAGGGCATAAAGTGGGTCATGAGAGGTCGATGTGCCAAGTTTGGTGTTGTTCAGTCATTGTTGAGGGTTGCAGCAGTCTCGGAAAGCGAGTAGAGGTACTTCAAGTCCCATCATCCATGGCATGCCCTACTTCAAACCATATTAGGATGTAGAGTGGGTCATGGGGGCTCTGTGTGCCAAGTTTGGTTTTGTTTGGACATTAGATGAGGGTTGCAGCAGTCTTGGGTAGTGGAGGTACTTGAAGTCCTATCATCCATGGTCTGTCGTCCTCCAAACTGCTCCAGGATGTAGAGTGGGTCATTGAAGCTCCATGTGCCAAGTTTAGTCTTGATGAGTCATTGGCGTGGGTCTCAGTGGTCTCAGGAAGTGAGTGAAGTGACTGCAAGTCCCATCATCCATTGTCAAATTCTTCCAAACCGCACCAGGATGTAGAGTGAGTTATGCGGACTCTCTGTGTAAATTGTGGTCCTGATCCATCATTGTTGGCAGTTATAATGGTCTTAGGAAGGGAGTGCAGGTATTGCAAGTCCCATCGTCCATGGTGCATCCTCCTTCAAACTGCACCTGGATGTAGAGTGCGTCATGGAGACTCAGTGTGCCAAGTTTGGTCTTTATCGGTAATTGGATGAGGGTTGCAGTGGTCTCAAGAATGAGCAATGGTACTGCAAGTCCCATAATCCACGGTCCATCCCCGGCCAAACCACACCAGGACGTAAAGTGGGTCATGAGAGGTCTCTGTGCGAAGTTTGGTCCTGATCAGTCATTGGATAAGGTTGAGAGCGGTCTCAGAATGTGAGTGGTGGTACTGCAAGTCCCATCATCCATGGTTCATAGTCCTCCAAACTGCAGTAGGATGTAGAGTGGGTGATGGGGGCTCTGTGTGCCTATTTTGATCTGTATTGGGAGTGTTCTGACCCAGCCCCCGGCCTTTCCTTTCCTCTCTTTGTCATCTCGGAATGTTGGATTTGAGGCTGGCCAATCAGAGACCATATGCAAATTTCCCTTCTGTCATGCCCCGTTTCTGCCATGAACCCTCTTCTCCACCAGGGGCTCCTATTGAAGCTGGCCAATCAGAGACCATATGCAAATAGCACCACAGCGGCAGCCAATCAGAACGCTGCCACATACACCGCCCTCCCTCCACAATTCTGTCCGATACAAACACTCTTCTTTATTATATACTAGCTTGGGGACCCGGCGTTGCCCGGGTTATTAGAGAAAGTGGGTAATGGCGGTTCTGTATGGCAAGTTTGGTCTTTATTGGTCTTTGGATAACGGCTGCATTATTTTCAGGAAGTGAGTGAAGGTACTTGAAGTCCCATCATCCATAGCCCATCCTCCTACAAACAGCAGCAGGATATAGAGTGGGTCATGGGGGCTCTGTGTGCCAAGTTTGGTATGTATCAGTCATTAGATGAGGGTGGCAGTGGTGTCAGTAAGTGAGTGAAGGTACTGCAAGTCCCATCATCCAAAGTCCATCCTCTTTCAAACTGCAGCAGGATGTAGAGTGGATCATGGGGGCTCTGTGTGCCAAGTGTGGTCTTGATTGGTCATTAGAAGAGGGTTGCAGCAATCTTTGGAAGGGAGTGGAGGTACTTGAAGTCCCATCATCCATGGTCTGTCCTCCTCCAAACTGCACCAGGATGTAGAGTGGGTCATTGGAGCTCCATGTGCCAAGTTTAGTCTTGATTAGTCATTGGCGAGGGTCTCAGTCGTCTCAGGAAGTGAGTGAAGTGACTGCAAGTCCCATCATCCATTGTCAAATTCTTCCAAACCGCACCAGGATGTAGAGTGGGTCATGCTGGGTCTTTGTGTAAATTGTGTTCCTGATCCATCATTGTTGGCAGTTGTAATGGTCTTAGGAAGGGAGTGCAGGTATTGCAAGTCCCATCGTCCATGGTGCATCCTCCTTCAAACTGCACCTGGATGTAGAGTGCGTCATGGAGACTCAGTGTGCCAAGTTTGGTCTTTATCGGTAATTGGATGAGCGTTGCTGTGGTCTCAGGAATTGCGCAAAAGTACTGCAAGTCCCATAATCCATGGTCTATCCCCAGACAAACACACACCAGGATGTAAAGTGGGTCATGAGAGGTCTATGTGCCAAGTTTGGTCCTGATCAGACATTGGATGAGTTTAACAGCGGTCTCAGAATGTGAGTGATGGTACTGCAAGTCCCATCATCCAAAGTCGATCCTCCTTCAAACTGCAGCAGGATGCAGAGTGGGTCATGGGGGCTCTGTGTGCCAAGTTTGATCTTGATCAGACATTAGATGAGGGTTGCAGCCGTCTTGGGAAGAGAGTGGAGGTACTTCAAGTCCCATCATCCATGGTCTGTCCTCCTCAAAGTGCACCAGGATGTAGAGTGGGTCATGGGGACTCTGTGTGCCAAGTTTGGTCTTTATCGGTAATTGGATGAGCGGGTGCAGTGGTCTGAAGAATTGAGCAATGGTACTGCAAGTCCCATAATCCACGGTCCATCCCCGGCCAAACCACACCAGGACGTAAAGTGGGTCATGAGAGGTCTATGTGCGAAGTTTGGTCCTGATCAGTCATTGGATAAGGTTAACAGCGGTCTCAGAATGTGAGTGGTGGTACTGCAAGTCCCATCATCCATGGTTCATACTCCTCCAAACTGCAGTAGGATGTCGAGTGGTTATGGGGGCTCTGTGTGCCTATTTCGGGCTGTATTGGGAGTGTTCTGACCCAGCCCCCAGCCTTTCCTTTCCTCTCTTTCTCATCTCGGAATGTTGGATTTGAGGCTGGCCAATCAGAGACCATATGCAAATTTCCTTCTCTCATGCCCCGTTTCTGCCATGAACCCTTTTCTCCAACAGGGGCTCCTGTTGAAGCCGGCCAATCAGAGACCATATGCACTACAGTGGCAGCCAATCAGAATGCTAGCACATACACCGCCATCCACAATTCCTCTGTCCGATACAAACACTCTTCTTTATTATATATATAGATTGTTGGTATAATAAAAGGTTTATTTACCTTTTTTTACCAGTTACATGTATTTTTGTTTACACTGGTCGGTTTGAGTGTTAGACTATAATGACTCTGGAGACCAGTTTGTTTGGCCATTAAATCCATGGAGTGACCTTAGGTAAAGTCACACTCTCTTGTCCTCAGACGGAAAGCTTTGGCAAACCTCTTCTGAGCAAATGGTGCCACATTGGGTGCAGTTTGGTTCATAAAGGTTTCATCAATAGGCAGAACGTTTGTAAAGAATGAAAATAATTTTCTATCCTTTATGTCTTGAATGGTTTTATTCTATTGTATATTGGTTGTAATATTTTTATAGTGTATGTTTTATGTAATTGATTATGTTGTTGTTTATTATTATTATTATCATCATCATCATCATCATCATCCTTGTAACACATATTTTAGTGCAGGTATTAAGATGCACACATTGTGTTTAATTCTGCAAGTTTCATTTGTTTTTTTTTTATTTCCCTGACTTTGCTCCAATTTAGAGACAATATAGTATTGCAGAATGTGATTAAGTCAGAAATGGCAAAGTCATCTTGAAATGGACCTTGTTTTACATTTGGTACATTTAAGCAGGCCTGGGCATACTTTGGCGTTCCAGGTGTTTTGGACTGCAACTCCCACAATTCCTAACAGCTTACCAGCTGTTATGAATTGTGGGGGTTGAAGGCCAAAACACCTGGAGGCAGGGCCCCAATTGGCCTATGCCTGATGTAGAGACAATCTTTCCTCACTTGGCATGTTCTCCTCAACATCTGCAGGGGTTATACTCTTCCTGAAGTAGTTTGGAAAAGCTCCTCTTTTGGAAAGCAATGTCTGGAATCTCCTGCTAGCAGGAAGCTTTTTCCAACTCCAAGACAATTTGAACCACAGAATAGTGCTTCTTACAGAAGGAGATCATTTCGGGGGGGGGGGGGGGGGCCGTAGTTGACCATTGCTTTGTATTTTAATTTCTGGCCTCCCCCGCATTTGCAGCAACATCATCGATGTCTCGGCCGCAGACCAGCAGCAGATGGAGCAGCACGAATACATGGACCGGGCCCGGCAGTACAGGTGAGCATTGCCATTACCCTTCAAGGTTATCAGTCACACCTTTATAAGTCTCCTCACATTTACCTTTACCTATCCCACTGTTGGCTCATATTGAGCATGTGTTCTGCTAAGCCTCCAAGATCCCTTTCCCACTGTTGGCTGTTTTCAAGCGAGATGCCACCCTCCTTATTCCGCCTTTTTTGTCATGAATGCTTTTTGAACCTTAAAATGTTACTGGTGAGCGTTTGAGCATTGCATCCATTTAACCCTTTCAGTGCTTGACTCACATTTTTGGTGCGCCCTACAACACTGGAGAAATTACACTGTTTAGCCGGTATTGCACCACCTGACATCTGCCAGGAAGTAGCAACCAATAGTGAAAGGACCAAGGCAGAGACATCTCCAGCTCATCCCCTGTTTGGGTATCAGCCAGCACGTCAATGACTTAAATCTGGAAATAGTTTTCTAAGATCTACAGAGACACTCGCTGGAACACCTCAGCAAGCGAGAGTCCAAAAGTGGCAGGCTCAAACCCAGCACCTCAATCCGTGGGTGATACCAGATGAGAGACTCCCCCTGGGCACACAGAAGACTGGGCGACCTGGAAGGCGCTGAACAGACTGCGCTCTGGCACCACGAGATGCAGAGCCAACCTTCAGAAATGGGGCTACAAAGTGGAATCCTCGACATGCGAGTGTGGAGAAGAGCAAACCTGACCACCTGCTGCAATGCAACCTGAGCCCTGCCACATGCACAATGGAGGAACTTCTTGCAGCAACATCAGAAGCACTCACAAGTGGCCAGCTACTGGTCAAAGGACATTTAATCAACTACCATACTCACAAATTTTGTAATTTGTTTGTTTGCTTTGTTCTGTTAGAAATGTAATATAATTTGACTGGTTGTTCTGACACGACAAATAAATAAACATTTTTGTAATGAAAAATGCCTAGTTAATTTTTAATATTTCTGACAACCCTCTCCCGTCTCCTTTCCTGCAGCACCCGGCTGGCCATGCTGAGCAACAACCTCATGCACTGGAAGAAGCTGCCGCCACTGCCCTCGCTGACCAACCAGCCCCATCAAGTCCTTGCCAGTGACCCTGTGCCCTTCGCAGACCTGCAACAGGTAAATCGGCCGAATGGATGGCAAAGAGGACAGAGCAAGAGAGCCTTGGGCAAACTTTGGCCCTCCCTCCAGGTGTTTTGGACTTCCACAGTTCTAGGAATTGTGGGAGTTGAAGTCCAAAAGCGCCTGGAGGGAGAGCCATGGTTTGCCCATGCCTGCACTAAAGACTTTTGGGGAAAAGAAGAAGTGATTTCCTCACGCAGGCAGGAAGCAAAACACCTTGACTTACATAGCTCTACACCAGTGTTTGTGCTGTCGCACGCTGGGCCTGTGCATAAAAATGTAGACAGGACATAAATTATGTGTGCCCAACAGGACGCCGGGGCTGCCTCAGATCAAAGGCCTTTGGATTTCCTTAAAACAGAGTCTTTAGAGGCTTAAAGTAAGTCCAACAAAGTTCTTTATTAATGAAAACAGGTACTTCAAGGCTTTCTTAACAGTCTATTGGCTCTCTCTCAATCTTGTCCACAGGGAACAGGCACTATCTTCATAACTGTAACTAATAGGAAATCCTTAACTTCTAATCTGGGCAGTCTGTCTTTGCCTCTGTTGGCCTGGAGCCCCTGCACCCAGTACCAACTGCATCTGGCTTCCGCAAGTGACCCTTACCAAGCAGAGCTTTGTAGACTTCCAGGGGGAAAAGAACTCAGGTTTTCGTGATGGCTGATTGAAGTCTTTCAGCAAAGGAGCTGTAGGGCTGTGTAACCCCGGCCAAGCTGTGGGCTGTATATCTCCCTGGCCAAGCCATAGAAGGTGAAGCTTTCTACAGGAGCTCTTGGTATTATGTCCTGCATGAAAGGCTTCTCTGTGTGGACTGAACCCAAACTGGCTCCTATTCCCTCCAAAACCCAAAGGGGGCGGGACCAGGAAACCTAACAACAATTGACAGGTGGCTTGCCCTATGATTGCAGCCAAAAGAAGCCACCTATCTGCAGAGTCCCTGAAATTTAGGACTACAACAAACATTCAATGCAAAGCAAACAACATTGGAGCTCCTGATGCAGTTGTACCTGCACAACACAGAGAAGCCATTGAAATCCACAAGCATGTGGACAATTTCAGCAGAAAGAAGGAAACCATGAAAATGAACAAAATCTGTCTACCAGTATTTTTTAAAAAACCTGTAAAATTACAACAGCAAAACAACAGAGAGGAAACAAACAAGGACATCGAATCACCTCTCAACAAAAGATTCCCCCGGGGACTGCCAGGCCATCAAATGCTAATCAAGGTGGTCAGTTGAAACATTCACACCTAGCTCCAGCAGAAAAGAGTCCTTTGTCTCACCCTGGTCATTCCACAGATATATAAACCCCCTTTTCTTAGTTCCAACAGACCTCACTGCCTCTGAGGATGCTTGCCATAGATGCAGGCGAAACGCCAGGAGAGAATGCCTCTAGAATGTAGCCATATAGCCCGAAAAAACCTACAACAACCCAGATTCCGGCCATGAAAGCCTTCGACAATACATTATAATTATATATTACATGGTATATATAATTATATACAATAAAATATAATACAATATTATATAATACAATATAATGATATAATACAATATAGTATAATACAATATAGAAATATTTAAAACTGATCCTGTACTATGCTAATAATATATATGAGAAGGGCGGCATATAAATGTTGTAAATAAGTAAATAAGTATGTAAATAAATAAAGGCTTGGACCACAGGGTCCCTAATGGCGCCTTATCCACAAAAAAGGACCCCATTCTATTTTTTCTCTCCCAATGTTGACTCATCCCTCCTTCCTTCCTTCTTTCCTTCTCTTCTCCAACCCTCAGGTCTCCCGGATAGCTGCTTATGCCTACAGTGCCCTGTCCCAGATCAGAGTGGATGCGAAAGAGGAACTGGTTGTACAGTTTGGGATCCCGTAACGGCGCCCGCCTCCCTCCGCCCCGCGCTCCCTGCACTCCTGGCTCTCCTCTCATCTCCACGGACGGCTTCTCACTGCGGCGGAAACTCGTACGGAGACAAGATACACTGAATTTTTTTCTACTCCTCGCCACAGAGACCATTGATTGGCACACCTGAGAGGTGCAAAGGGAAGATGGCCGCCCCAAAGGCGAGGGACGGCACGGCCCGCGCGGCTCCCCTTTCACCGGCTCTGGATCTCCGCGGAACGCCCGGCCGGCGGTCGGTTCCCCTTTGGAATGGTTTCTCCTCCTGCGGCCCCTCCTGTTGTTCACGTTTGGGAGTCGGGGGCAGAAAGGAACGGGGTCCTTTTCAAGAACGGAAACCACGGCTGGCGAGGGGCTCCGTGCCCTTCTCTCTCTCTCTCTCTCTTTCTCTCGGTGTGTAGCCCTCTCCTCCTTCCTTTTACATAGCTCCACTGTTCATTTTGTTTTAATTTTGGTTTTGGCTCAACTAGATTAAAATATAAATACCTTCATCCAGGCACAAGGCTCGTTCTTTCCTCCATCCCTCCTTTTCCTTGCTTCCTTTCCTTCCTTTCCTCCTTTCTCCTCTTCCTTTTTCCCTTCTTTCTTTTCTCCCTCCCTCTTCCTTTTTTACCATTTCCCCCCTCTTCCCCTTCTTTTTCTTCTCCCTTCCCCTTCTCCCCTCTTCCTTTTCCCCTTCCTTCTTTCTCCCTCTTCCCTCTTCCCTTTTCATTTCCCCCTTTCTCCCTCCCCTCCTTCCTTCCCTCTCCCTTCTTTTCCACCTTCCCTTTCTCCTTCATCTTTCCTTCCTTCCCTTCCTTCCCCCTTCTCTCCTCCTTTCCCCCTCTCCTCTCTTCCTTCCTTCCTTCTTCTTCCTTCTTCCTTCCTTCCTTCCTTCTTCCTTCCTTCCCTTCTTCCTCTCCTTCCCTCTTCCTCCCTCTTCTTCCTTCTTCCTCCCTTCCCTTTCCCTTCCTTCTTTCCCTCTCCTCCTTCCTCCCTCCTTCCCTCTCCCCTTCCTTTTTCCTTCCCCCTTCCCCCTTCTCCCCTCTTCCTCCTCTCTTCCTCCCCTCCTTTCCCCCTTCATCCTCCTTCCTCCTCTCCCTCCTTCCTTACTTCCTTCTTATCATTCCTTCTTTTTCCCCTTTTCTCTCCCTTCCTCTTTTCCTTTTCTCCCCTCTTCCTTTATTCCCCTTCTTTTCCCTCCTTTTTTTCCTTCCCTCCTCCCTCCCTTCCTTCCTACTTCTTTCCTTCTTCCCTTCCTTCCCTCTTCCCTTCCTTCTCTTCTCTCTCCTTCCCCTTCCCCTCCCTCCTTCCTTTTTCCCTACTCCCTTTCTCCCTTTTTCTATCCCTTTTCTTTCTTCCCTTCCTCCTTTTTTCTCCCTTCTTCCCTCCTCTCTCCTCCTTCCATCCTTCTCTTCCTCCCTTCTTTTCCCCCTTCCTTCCTTCTTTCCCTCCATCCATTGTTCCTCCCTCCCTCTAACCTTACTTCTTTTCTATCCCTTCCTTCCTTTCTTCCCCTTTTCTATCCCTCCCTCCTTCCCCTTCTTCCCCTTGCTTCCTTTCCCCCTTCCCTCCTTAGTCCTTCCCCCCTTTCTCTCCCTCTTTCCATCCTTCTCTTCCTCCCTTCCTTCCTTCTTTCCCTCCGTCCATCCTTCCTTCTTTCCTCTCCCCCTTCCTTCCTTCCCTTTTCTCTCCCTGTCTCCCTCTATGGCAGGGGGTGGAGTGCATGCAGTGACAGGGAAGAGACCTTGGTGGGCCAGATGCAGCTCACCGCCCATAGTTTGTAGACCCCTGTTCTATAGGAACAGCTTTGAAATCATCATGGCTTTTGGAAGCTGCCCAAACAGTGGCCATATTGGAGTGAGGTGGAGCTGGGGCAATCCCCGTCCGGGAGTGTGGATGGGAAACGCCACTGATATAACGTGGCACAATCAATGAAGGGAGGCCCAGCCGGGGGCATCTATCCACATGCACAAGTTCGGGGGGCTCTTTCTACACTAGAGTTTTACCTATGTGCTGTTTTGTCATACTCCACCTTCGAGAGGTTCATTACTTTTTTGAATGGCCGCTCCCGTTCAAAACTCGGACGAAGTTTGCCGTTCATTATTTGGATGACTTTTTGTTTACAGGGACCATTTGGCATCTGCTCTCTCTGTCAATCAATTTCCTTTTCTCGTGGATAGTTCTCTCTCAAGGAGAGAGTATCCAGATAGTCAAGGCATGGGCAAACTTGGGCCCTCGGGGTGTTTTGGACTTCAACTCCCACAATTCCTAACAGCCGATAGGCTGTTAGGAATTGTGGGAGTTGAAGTCCAAAACACCTGGAAGGGCCCAAGTTTGCCCAAGCCTGGGATACACAGGGTTGTTGACATTCTAGGCCTTGTTGATGCTTTTCATTATCATAAGGAAGCCAAATTTTGGGAGTTAATTGGTCACCTAAAATGTTGCATGTGGATCGTTGCCCCAGGTGAATTGTGTCACCTGTAAACATTGTGCAGCAACTATTTGCCAGGCCCAGCAACGTTCGAGATGAGTAGCAACTCTGTGACATGAAACACAACATTGCAAGACCCTTATTGTTCTTGCCACACATTGTCCATGGTTGCACTTACGCACATGTTTACACACTGATGTGAAATGCACAACGAACATTTGATAGCGCAGCTCACTAGTCTACAACTGATACTCACTGGCACACATTGTCCATGGTTGCATTTGCATATGTGTTTACACACTGATGTGAAATGCACAACGAACATTTGATAGCGCAGCTCACTAGTCTGCAGGTGATACTCACTGGCACACATTGTCCATGGGTGCATTTGCACACTTGTTTACACACGGATGTGAAATGCACAACGAACATTTGATAGTGCAACTCACTAGTCTGCAACTGATACTGCCACACATTGTCCATGGTTGCATTTGCACACATGCTTACACACTGATGTGAAATGCACAACGGACATTTGATAGTGCAACTCACTAGTCTGCAAGTGATACTCACTGCCACACATTGTCCATGGTTGCATTTGCACACGTGTTTACACACGGATGTGAAATGCACAATGAACATTTGATAGTGCAACTCACTAGTCTGCAACTGATACTCACTAGCACACATTGTCCATGGTTGCATTTGCACACGTGTTTACACACTGATGTGAAATGCACAATGAGCATTTGATGGTGCAACAGTGCAACACTAACCTGTGGATGAAACTCCATAACTGTCTCTTTGGTGTAAGAAATATGTGTCTGAGGCTCCAGTTAAAGGAATGGGAATTGTGTATGTGGCTGAACTGCAAGTCCCATTATCCACTGCCAATGGATGCAGAACACTGGGAGTTGGAATCTTACAACACCTGAAAGGTTGCATGGTTGCAGCACCCTTTTCTGCAGGGAAACTCCAGCTGAAGCAGTAGTGGGGATTGCATATATGGCTATACCACAACTCCCATTATCCACAACCCCTGCGTGACTGCAACACCATTTTCTACAGGGAAACTCCAGTTGGAAGGAAGAGTGAACAGATTAAGAATGTTTGGAGTGCTATGACATCTAAAAGAAGGCATGGTTGCTGCACCATTTTCTGCAGGGAAACTCCAGTTGAAGCAGAAGTGGGGGTTGTGTATGTCTGTACTGTGACTCCCATTATCCACAGCCAATGGGTGATGAATGTTGGGACTTGGAAGTCCTACAACACCTAGTTGGCTGCATAGATGCAGCACCGCTTTCTGCAGGGAAACTCCAGTTAAAAGAATGGAAATTGTGTGTAGGTGTACTGCAGCTCCCATTTCCCACAGCCAATGGGTGAAGAATGTTGGGATAGAGCAAGAGTGGGGATCGCGCATGTGTTTGTGTTGTGACCTCCCATTGCGTGGTGCTCCCTTCCTGGCGTCCCTATGC